AATGGATAGGCTCGCCGCTGCGTGTTCTATCTAGGTGGACCTTATATGTCTTGTCTATTGCATCTCACTGTATATGAGTGTGGGAATACGTATTCAATATTGACCCTTGTTTGACATGGATTGACTGTTCGTGGACCCACGGACTCTGTGACACCCTGAAACTCAAACACCCCATCATCTTGCTGGCAAGACGCAACGCGTGCTCTCCCGCATAGTTCCTTTGCAGGCGGTGTTACGTACTTTTGTGTGCTATGGTCCAATGGCTCCCGCCCCCTGAAAACCTTCATGCTGGTGTTCAGTGTGGAGGCAGATCTATTTCTAGAGTCCCAAAACCCTTTCGACCCCCGTCTCAGAAAGTGCCAAACTGAGTATCTGAGTAAACAACTTGCAACTGAACAAGGGTCAGTTGCAAGTGATTCTGGTGAAAGGGGATTGCTGATCGGGAGAGTGTTCGGAGAAGGCGCAAGGGGTGGGAAGTTGTAGCAGCAGCTGCTGAGGGTTGCCACCACTTAGATGTGCTGGGGTTTAGCTAAATGGTTTTAAGCTTTACGGATGTTAGTAAGAGATTACTAACTAACTCTTAACTATGCGCTAACTAGGTTTTAATTGCTTAGTAATTGACCTATTTGTCCTACTGGTGTTAAGATGGTTATTAAAGTTTTTCTAAAGGTTAGCTAAACATCATAACCAACTTAAAGACATCTTAACAAGTTACAAGGGTTATGTTGGTAATTCACCTAACTGCGCTAACTGGTTAGCGTGTTTAACTTGCTTATGTTTACACAAACAAAAAATAGAGTTTTGTTTTTCAAAAGGTGGATATTTGGATACTTTTTTTCAAGATTTCACTAAAGAGTAAGCTTTGCGGCTTTTATTTTCTGTATTTAACATTTTTCCATATATACATATTGCAGTTTAGCCCAAGGGCTCAAGTTCTTCAGCCTTCCAGGCTCATGTTCTCCAGCCTTCAAGGCTCATGTTCTCCAGCCTTCAAGGCTCATGTTCCTTAGCCTCCAAGGCTCAAGTCATTCTAAGGCTCAAGTTGTGAATGTGGAGGTTTGATTTCCATACCTCCATTTGTCAAGTGCCAGCTGTTTGGCTCTGTAAAATGGAAGAAAGTGAAGAAGAAGCTGGCGCAGTGGAAATTGCCCACACTGTGTCAGTCAAGTTCAATGATGGCAAGTTCATACAAATCCCTGACAGCCTGCTGGTCAAGGAAAAGGGTTGATGTGTAATGAAAACACTTCCTTCCCCTGGAAAGGAAACAGGTTGTTGTCTACTGCATGCTCTTTTGTCACTAGAGTGTTTTCCACCAATATGTTGAAGACAACTTATGGCTTGCTTCTCACATGCAGGATGATGATGGTCAGTCCTTCTTGGAGCTGGCTGCTACAAACTATGTGACCAACACATTGATATGTGGGAAAGCAAGCCTCAGCAATGGGGCAAAGATGTCTGAGTTGAAAGCCTTGAGGAGCAGGGCCCCCAACCCTTTTCTGCAAAAGAGTCTTCTTGGGAAGAAGCTGATGATGATGATGCAGCAGCTGTGGAACCCAAAATGAAACAGAGGAGGGCTGTGCAACAGACCATCGACTTGGAGATCGATGGCACTACAGGGACTCTCCTGGTGCCAGCAAAGAGGGCCATGTTGGCAGACATCATGATCAAGATGGATCCCAAGATGCTTGCTGCTGTCTTCAATTTCTTGAAGCCTGATTGCTTGGAGAAGCCCAAGCCCAGAACCTACAAGAAGACTGGTCAGCATACAAAGAAGAATAGGTAGTTGCAACTTGAGGGCTGATCTTTGGCAGTGGCAGTTGGAAAAATGCGCTGGGGTGAGCTTGATCACCTCATGTTTCTGCTGCATTGCCTGGCTCATGCAATTTCTATAGTCAGTCTTCAATGGCTCATGTTGAGCCTTTGTAGCCTGAGGGCTGAAACTCTTGTTGGCCCATGTGGCCCATGTCTCACACTTTCTTGCGCTTTCCATTAGCCTAGAGGCTCATGTGTCCATGGCTGAAAGCCTCATGTCATGCCCTCACATGGCTCAAGGGGCAAACTTGATTGCCTGAATGTTTTCCATGGCACACGGATCAGCTTCTTTGAGTCATTCACCAAAGGCATGACAATGGATATGCATTTCACTTGCTTGCAAGGTGTTCTATAGAAGAAGCTTGCAAGTCCACTCAGTCCACTCAGAGCCATGGATAGCAAAGTGAAAGATGCCATGGCCAAGGTCCTTGAGGACCCTGTGGATGGGGTGAATGTGAAACTTGACAAGGTTTTGGAGCTCTTAAAAGAGAACTTCTTGGCAGTTGAGATGCAGCTCAGGCCTGCAGAACTTCTTGTACACCCTGGAAACAGGGGAGGAAGCATGGTCAGTCCCCACGATGTCCACAGGAAGGGGCAAAATGTTGTGAACACTGGCCTCAAGCGCTCTTTGCTGGCTGCTAGTTCCTTGTGTGTGGAGCTCCCTAGGCTACCTCATGTCAGAAAAGAGCAGATTGAAAAGAATCAGACCTTGTGCAACCAAGCAGAAGGCTTGCTTGGTGGAGTGCTAGGCCAAGAGGGATACTTGACATTAGGTTGCAGCCACTGGGTGCAATACTGCAGGGCCATGGAGCAAGGTGCAATGGGGCCCAATGGTGAGAAGCTTCATGTTCCAGCAGAGTTGAAATCATTGCTCTCTGCAGGATGGAAATGGACTGCGTTGAAGCCAGAAGTCGAAGAGGCTTTTCCAGCCTTTCCTTCTTGGGCTGCCAGCTCCTTAAACTCTTCCAATGCCAATGTGAAGGCAACCTCTGAGTTGGAAGCAATGTTGGAGATTGCTAATCTTGTCAGGCAAGGCAAAACAGTGGCTCAAGCTGTTGAAGCTGTGAAGGCTGGCTTACCATCTTGTGCAGAATACCTGGATTACATTGGTCATTTTGTGAAGCTGTTCTGTGGTGGTGATCAATTCCCACTGTTGCAGGTGATGAAAGACTTTTGCACAAAGTATGGACCATCAATCCTGATTGGCAAGGAGATGATGTACAACCTGAGTTGCTTTGACTTCAAAATGGAGACCAACAAGCTTCCCATGACCAGGGCTGCACTCCTTTGCACAATGCTTACCAGCAAGAAGCACTCAGATGGCCTGTCTCGATTGATCTACAAGGCAGACTTTGATAGGATGAGAGGCACTTTAAAGAGCAACACACAGAATGTTGAGGAGATATTGAAAGATGCTTGGGAACAATGCCAAAAGTCAAGCACCCACAAAAGCTTGATGGCATGGGGCAAGCTTGGCACCAGAATGATTTTGCACATTCTGTCCAAGGAGAAATATTCCAGAGATGCTCCCTTTGAGTCTGTGCAGAAGATTGTCGAGAGATTTGCTGAGGACTTGGAAAGTTCACATGGTCCAAGTGCCTCAACTGGCACTTCTGCTGGGGTGATGCTGCTGGGGGTGAAGTCAAGGACTTGTTGAAAGCTTCGCAGAGTGAGCTGGCACTGCTACAACACTCCCACTTGAAGCTGGGATGTTTTTACATGTGCAAGGACCATGAAGATAAGGTGTTCGACCACATGGTCTTTTGCCATGCTCCCATCTTTGGAGAGCCAGAAACAATTCTTGTTTCCTTCAATGAACTCAAGGGTTGGAAGTTTACAAAAAGAAATCCTCCCAAGATGTGCCCTTTGCAAGTTTCCAAGGCAAAGGTTGCACAGAACAGTGACATCTTCAAAGCAGAGCTGAAGAGGATTGAGTTGCAGCACATTCTTTTGGAAGGCTTCAAGGACCACATCACAGATGTGCGTGAGTCCCTCATCTTTGCCTCCATGCCAGGACCTGCTTTGTTTTGCTCCCAGAAGTTGAAGAAAGGTGGCCTGGTTCTGTACCCAACAGGTACAGTGCAATCTTTGAAAGGGAAAGATGAGTCTAAAGTCAAGCACCTTGTACTTGAGTACCAGCATGAAAAAATTTGCCTTGCAACCTTTCAAGAACATTGCAGAGTTTGAGTTGGAGGCTGAAGGCATGCTGGTTCCCTATCAGTTTGTGCAGTTTGTGGGTGAGGAAGACCAGCCCAACATGGAAGTGAAGGTGGTGAATTTCAAAGGAGTGAAGATTCCAGTGCTCACCAATTGCACCACAGTCCCTGAGAATACTATGTTGACCAGGCCAATGGAGATTGGCCATGCAGGGGCAGCAGCCCCCTCAGAGCCAGAACCTAAGAGAAGGAAGAAACACATCTAAAAGATGTCCACTTCACTGGCTACACAGGTTTTCATGAAAAAAGTGCTGCAATCAACCAGTTTTGCCTTGGTGGGCACATGTAAAGTTTGCAATTAGCCCTTGTGGCTCATGTTCTTCTTACAGTCTAGCCACATGTGGCTCATGTGTCTCTTTCAGTTTTGGTGCGTCTCTTGTGTAGCCATGTATGGCTCATGTGTTTCTTGCAATGTAGCCATGTTTGGCTAATGTCTCTCTTGCAGTTTAGCCATGTATCGCTCATGTCTCTCTTACAATGTAGCCATGTGTGGCTCATGTCTCTCTTACAGTGTAGCCATGTATGGCTCATGTCACTCTTGCAATGTAGCCATATATGTCTCATGTTTTTCAGTGCAGCCATGTATGGCTCCTGATTAGCTAGTTGAACATTTTGTGCTCTTTAGCAATTATTGCTTTTATGTTTCACATTTGCTGTGAACTGTTCAATCTTACTCTCAAGAGGTGTTTGGCTCCAAAATGAAAAGGTGTGCTGAAATACCTGTAGAGACCTTGCATGCTGATGATGCTGCAACTGAGCTGGAACCTAAGATAGAGCAGGACTGTTCTATTCTAACATTATTTGTTTTTATTGTGTTGAGGTGTTAGCACTCTAAATGTATTCACTTGAGTTATTTTTTTGGTTCAGGTTTGATTCACCCTCACCCTGGGAGGATGGTTCAGAGCAACCTGATGTCTTTGAGTATGTGGAGGAGGAAGATGAAAATGAAGAGCAAAAGCCTGGGCCTTTTGAAAGCTTGGTGATGCATGGAGGCCTCTGTGAAGGTGAACATGAAGCCATCCATGAAGGACAAGATGGACACCCTGACCAAGAACCTGAGCAGCCCAAGGAAGAAGAGAAGGACTTCTACTATGCTTGCATCAAGGCTTTGTACATCAAGCAACCAGATGGGAGCTTTACAATGGAATCTTGGGAGGACATCCCTGACTATGATGAAGCATCTGGGTACCAAGAAGGCTTGAGTGCGACAAACACTGGTGGGATGGAATCAGGTGGCAAAGCTCAGCCAGTGACACCACCTGGAGGTCCACCTGAACCTGATACACCCAATGAACCTTCTTGGCAGGACTGTGCAGTTTTCACTGCATTTTGTTTGCAAAGGTTCACTATTGTTCACTTGTGTCTACCAACACTGTTGATGAGCGTTTTTAGTCACAGTGATTTGATCACCATGACTGCCGGGAGACACCACAAAATCAGACTCCTTCAAGGTCAGGATGGCTCAACCGATGCATCTTACTGATGGCACTCTACAAAACTCAGAAGTTCAATGAGATGGACAGGTTGATGAGGCTTTTCAGCAATCACAATGCTGCCAAAGGCCAAGTCTTGAATGTCATGAGTGCAATTAGTACTGATGGTGACCAAGCTGGACCCAGGCAGTTAGGATTTAAATGGTGAACCTATGGGCTCTAGATATGACAAGCTAAAAAACACTCTACACAAATGGTTCACTGTGTGCTCACTAGAGCCCAAAACAATGGATAAACAGCTCAAGCCATGAAAAAAGGCTAAGAGCTTGTGTATTTTTTGTTCACTAGCCACTGCTGGCTCATGTTCACTAGCCATTGTTGGCTCAGGTACATTTGCAATTTTTGGCTCATGTGTTTATGTTCTTTACCAGTTTAGCCATACATGGCTTATGTTCACTGTGTTGCGTTTCAGTTAGCCATTGTTGGTTCATGTAGTTCATTTGGCCTTACTATGGCTCATGTCTCAGGTAATGAGTTCAGCCAATGTTGAATGGTTACTATGCAGTGTAAATTCAGTCTAGAGATTTAGGTTTAATTTGGAAAAATGTTTATCAATTCAGATATCTGAATTGAAATTTGGACAGTTGACATTTCAATTCAGATATCTGAATTGAAATTTGGACAGTCGACATT